CAGCTCGTCTTCATCGTGGTCTTTCAAATTTCTATCTTGAAGAATATCAATATGCACTAGCTGATTTTTCTGCAACACTTCATTATGATCCATCAAATTCGTCGGCTTATTATCATCGTGGACTTCTTCTTCGCATATGTAATCCAGCACAAGCAATAAAAGATTTTAGTATATCATTATTACTTAATTCTGAATATGATAATCTTGGTGCTTATCTTCATCGAGCTTTAATCTATTGTAAACAAAATCAATTTGAAGAAGCTATTGCTGATTATGAAGCCGTTACGGTATTAGATCGAGAACATGCGCCAGCTTTATGTAATTTAGCTATTATTTATATGAGAAAAAATCCTCAAAAAGCTATACAACTATTTACAAGATCAATTGAAGCGGATCCGACATATGTTCGAGCATATTTTTGTCGTGCTTATTTCTATAGTCAACTTAATCTATATAAAAAAGCTTATTCAGATTATACGAAAAGTATGTAGAAAAAAAATTAAATTCTATTTATATTAAAAAAATAAATTTTATTTCTATAGTCTATCATATGTTTCCGGATCAAAATTCATCAGTTGTACTTCGAGGAAATACACTTCTTAAAATGGGACAACTTGATTTAGCTTCATTTTGTGTTGAAGTAGCTGCTAAACTACAATCATTATCTGGTCCAGATGAAGATAGCTCACCATCAGCAATGAAAATGAGTGCATCAAGTTCTCAACAACAAGCTATTGTTCATTCATTTCTTGAACATTATGATCATGCTTTATCAATTATGGAACGTGAATGTTCACTTTCACACACACCTGCTAATTATCGTATGCTTGGTACATTACGTATTAAAGCTAAACGATTTGATGAAGCTCGAGATGCATTTGAAAAATGTATACATGTTTGTTTAACTACTGCAACAGATCAAGTTGATGAACTTCATAATGCTTATCTTGATTTAAGTAAATGTCTTATACAACTTAAACGTTATTCACAAGCTGTCGATCAATTAACTACACTAATAAAACTTCAACAATCGAAACAAAGTGCTGAAGCTTATTTACAACGTGGTATTGCTAAAATGAGAATGTTTGCACATTATAGTGCTACAGAATTAGCAAATTTATCATCAAGTAGACGACCATTATTAGATATTAATAAAGCACTTGTTATTGAACCGAATAATGCTGAAGCATATCTTGCACGAGCTGCTTGGTAAGTAGTACTAGAATCATATAGATTTAACTCGTTCATACTGTGTTTTAGGTATGCTCGTTGTGAACGTTATTCAAAAGGTGTATTGAATTGTAATGAAGCAATTCGTATATGTCCAAATCTTGTTCGTGCTTATCTTTATCGTGGTTGTTTGAAATATTCTATTCGTCTTTATGATCATGCTATCAATGATTTAACAAAAGCATTACAAATTGATCCATCTTGTTCGCATGCTTATTATAATCGAGCATTATGTTATATTCGTCGAGGAAATCTTTCTTATGCATTAAAAGATTTTGCTATTGTTTTATGTCTTGCATCATCAATAAAAAATAGTAAAACACAATTACTTGAATTAGAAACGTATGTTAATCGTGGTTTATTACATTATGAACATAAAGATTTTCAAAATGCACTTGTCGATTTTGAACATGCACTTGAATTAGTATTAACATCTGGTGATGATAAGAAAATTTATACATTAAAACATCGATTAATATATACTATTGGACAATGTCATCATCGATTAGCACAATTTGATAAAGCTATAGAACAATTTACATCATCTGAAATAAATGAACGACTTACGGCTGATATTACTTATCGACATGATGTATGGATTGCTCTAGGTAATGTCTATATGGATATGAGTGATAATATATCGAAATCAAAAGCAACGAAATTCTTTGAACGTATAGTACATGAAAATCCATTTCATGAACATGCAAGACTTCATCTTGGTTATTCTTTACGACAACGTGGATATTATCAACGAGCTTGGACACAATTTGCAGCACTTCTTCGTTTCAATCCATCAAATGTACGTGCACTTGAAGCACGAGCTATTGTTTGTTTACAAATGAATCATCCAAGAGAAGCATTTATTGATCTTAATCAAGCTTTACGTTTTGAACCATCATCAGCTCAATTACTTACAAATCGTGGTGTTATTCAACAATATTTAGGTGATAATAAAAGTGCCATGTGTGATTATCGTGCAGCTATGCTTTCTGATCCACAAAATGCATTTGCACATTATAATGCAGCGAATATACTTATGTTTCATGGACAATTTCTTCAAGCTATCAGTTTATTTGATCGAGTTTTAGAAATTAATCCACGTGATGAAGCTGCATTAACTAATCGTGCTATTGCTAAAGTTGTTATGAAACAATATACTAGTGCACGTGAAGATCTTGAACATGCTTTATTAATTTCACCAACAAGTGCTCATATTCATGTTGATCTTGGACAATTACTTTTAACAATAAATGAACCAGTTGAAGCAGAACAACATTTTACAAGAGCT